TACTACTACTACTACTACTACTGCTACTACTACTACTACCACTACTACTACTACTACTACTACTACTACTACTACTACCACGACAGCTGCTGCTGCTGCTACTGCTACTACGCCTACAAATGCCACCACGGATACTATTACTACTACTACTACTACTACTACTACTGCTACTACTACGACTACTACTACTACTACTACTACTACTACTACTACTACTACGACTACTGCTACTACTACTACCACTACTACCACTACTACTGCTACTACTACGACGACTACTACTACTACTACCACCACGGCTACCAGTACAACTACAACAAAGCCACTACTACTACTCCAGCGACTACTTCTACTACAACTACTACGACTACAACCACTACTACCACTGCGACCACCACTACTACTACTACTACTACTACTGCTACTACTACGACTACTACTACTACTACTACTACTACTACTACTCCTACTGCTCGTACTACGACAACGACTACTACAACTACTACTACTACTACTACTACTACTACTACTACTACGACTACTACTACTACTACTACTACTACTTCTCCTGCTACTACGACTACGGCTACGATTACTACTGCTACCGCTACTGCTACTGCTACTGGTACTACTACCACTACTACTACTACTACTACTACCACTACTACTACTACTACTACGACTACTACTACTACTACTACTACTACTACTTCTACTACTACTAGTACTACTACTACTACCACTACTATTACTACTACTACTACTACTACTACTGCTACTACTAAACTACTCCTACTATAACTACTACTACTTTTACTACTACCACTACTACGGCTACTACTACGGCTACTACTACTACTACTACTACTACTACTACTGCTACTACTACTACTACTACTACGACTACTACTACTACTAATAATCCTCCTCATCCTCCTCATCCTCCTCCTCCCCCTCCGCCTCATCCTTGTCATCCTCATCAACAGAAGCATTAGCATACTCATTATACTCAGCATCATACTCACCATCATCACCATCAGCATCATCAGCAGCAGCAGCATCATCAACATCATCATCATCATCGCCATCATCGGCATCATCATCATCGGAATCAGCAGCATCATACTCGTCATCAGCATCATCATCAACAGCATCAGCAAAACCATCAGCATCATCATAATCACCATCACCATCATCCTTACCATCATCATCGTCACCATCATCACCATCATCCTCCACATCAGCATCATGACCATAATCATCATCCGAATCAGCATCATCAGCAGCATCATCAGCAGCAGCATCGGCATCAGCATTATCATCAGCATCATCAGCATCATCATCAGCATCAGCATCGTCATTATCATCAGTATCGTCACCATCACCATCACCAGCATCATCAGCATCGGCATCGTCATCATCATCGTCATCGTCGTCGTCGCCACACACAACAACAACCAAAGCAACAGCAACACCCGCAACAGCAGCAACAACAACAACAAAAACACCGATAGTAGCAGCAGCATCGTCATCATCAGCATTACCATAGTCATCAGCATTAGCATCATAACCATCATCATCAGCAGCATCAGCATCAGCATCATCAGCAGCATCAGCATCAGCATCACCAGCATCATCGACAACATCATCAGCATCAACATCACCAACCTCATCATCATAGCCCATAGTACCGTCGCGTTTCATCATCATCAGCATCGTCATCGATATCAGCATCGTCAGCAGCATGTTCATCATCAAGAGCATCAGCAGCAGCATCATCCGCATCATCACCAAACTCATCATCATGGTCCTAATCCTCATCATCAGCATCAGCATCGTCGTCATCGTCATCGTAATCGCCAACATCATCATCAATAGCAGCATGATCATCATCATCATCATCAACATCATCATCATCATCATCATCACCAGCATCATCGACAACATGAGCAGCAGCATCATCCTTAGCAGCATCATCAGCAGCAGCATCAGCATCATTATCACCATCACCATCACCAGCATCATCATCACCAGCATCAGCATCATCATCATAGTCACCATCGGCACCAGCATCAGCATCAGCATCAGCATCAGCATCAGCATCAGCATCAGCATCATCATCATCATCATCATCATCATCATCATCATCATCATCATCATCGTCATCATCATCATCATTATTAGCATCGCCAGCCTCAGCAGCAGCATCATCCGCATCATCACCGCCATCAGCACAGGCATCGGCATCAACATCACCGTCATAAGCAGCACCAGCAGCACCAGCATCAACCTCATCATCAACCTCATCATCGTGCCTCGTCCCTCCTCCATACATGTCTCTTATGACCAGCTCCTGCCCGTCGCACCCCCGAGCGTGTCCCGGGGGGCGGGCCGGGCCTCGCGCCGAAGACGCCCCCACCGCTTTCGAGCCCGAGGCCGGAGCTGCTGCTGCAGCTGCGCTGGTGGAGAGGGCGGGCCGTTCTCTCGACGTGCGGCTCTCGCCTCCGCGCATGCGCGCATGCGCGCCCGGAGAGTTGGCAACAGCGTCGAGGATCCGCACGGCTGAGATCGCAAGGCTGGTTGAGGGTCGTCCAGTCGCAACAGTCACGTTCACTCGCGACGCTGGAGTCCCAGGGAGTGGTGTCCTGGCACGCTTCGGAGTCTCAGACGGCCGTCTTCCAGTGGGGCATTTGCCGCAAGGAACATACATTCTCTTAGGGAACCACGACGAAGGAACTCGGAGGGAGGGATTTTTTGCAACCTCGTTGATGCAACTTGGGCTTACACTGGTTCTCTTCCTCCTCCTCCTCCTCCTCCTCCTCCTCCTCCTCCTCCTGCTCCGCCTGCAGCGTAGACGAAGGGCGCAGCGCGTCTATGGGCCAACCGCCGCAATCGCCGATGGGGATCGGGCAAGGTGCCATCGAGCACCCCTTCCTCCGCCTCCTCCTCCCGCTCCTGCTCCAGACCTGTGCCCTATCCCCCCCCCCCCCCTCCCCCGCCCGCACCCAGAGCGCAGCGGTGGCGTGCCCCGAGGGCCACGCAGCGCCCCCCCCTCCTCCTCTCCTCCTCCTCCTCCTCCTCCTCCTTCCTCCTCCTCCTCCTCCTCCTCTACACCTCCTCTTCTCCTCCTCCTCCTCCGCCTTCTCCGCCTCCTCTCCTTCCTCTTCCTCCTCCTCCTCCTCCGCCTCTCGCCTCCTCCTCCTCCTCCTCCTCCTCCTCCTCCTCCTCCCGGCTCCTCGAAGGGGTCCACGCCGATATCTATGCTGCCGCCGAGCCTCTCCATGGCGAGCACGAAGTACTCCACGTGCGACCTGCCCAGCGAGGAGGCGGAGGAGGGGGAGGGAGAGGCGGCAGAGGAAGCGGAGGGGGCGGAGGCGGAGGAGGAGGAGGAGGAGGCGGAGAGGAGGGGGAGGCGGAGACGGAAGAGGAGGGGGAGGAGAAGGAGGAGAAGCAGGCGGAGGAGAAGCAGGCGGAGGAGAGGTACTAAACCTGCGACCAGCGCGGCGCGCGAAGCCGCCGCTCCGCATCCCCCGCAGCGGCGCGACCTTCGAGGGCAGCAGGGAGAAGGACGAGGGGCGGGAGGGGCGACTTGTGATCCCAGATCCGGACAGCGGGGTGCCAGAAAGGCCGCCCGACAGCCCTTGGAGAGAGCTCTGGGAGCTCCCTGAAGGAGCTTCCCGAGGAGCTTCTGGAGAGCTTCCAGGCGCACGTGCTGGGAAACGCTTAGAAAAGGCCTGCCCGATCGCGCTATAAAAAACCACAGCGGCGCTGGAAAACAAACACCGGAACGAGCTCCCAGGGACGAGGGGCGGGATGGGCCAGAGCCACTCGCACGCGATTTTTAGCGAGGGTCCCGGCGCTTCAGGCTCCGGGGCTCGTTCCGAGAGGACCTTCGCCGCCCCGATGCGCAGCACGTGACCCGCAGCGTACTGACACGGAGCTCAGCACGCAGACTGAAAACGTAGGTCTGGCGCGATCCGGTCGCCAAAGCATGGGCCAGCACGCTGAGCCAACACGCAGCGTGTTAGCATACGTCACGTACTGCGTTCCAACACGGGCGTCTCAGGGCAGCTAATGACATAGGGGGCCCAAAAATATACACCACCACCACCACCACCCTCACCCCCTCCCTCTCGCTGGAAAGAGGAGAGAAATCGACGTGGTGGTGGTGTATTTTCTTTGGGCCCCCATGAGAGGACGCGTTTGCCCCTAGACGGCTGCGGCCAAACAAAAAATCCGAAGCGCGGAGCGGCCAGAGTCATCGTCGACGAGTCCGTGCCACGCCAGGCTTGCGGACGCGCTTCTGCTTCTCTTGGGAGGGGGGGCGGTATACATAGAGCCGGTGAATGTAAGTCCCCTCTCTGGACTGGCATGTGAGTCGCGATGTCGGCTGCGATGGCAAAAGCGATGACAACATATTGCAATACGAGCGCTGAGGCTCAGCTGCGACCCTCTCCAAGGGAAGCCGCCGTCATGGAGGAGTGCGGCGAGAGGCGGTCACGGACCGACTCCGACTGTCAGTGTCTTAATGATTCAAAAACGATACGGGTGACTGCGGAGGGACCGGAGACTGCTATGATGATGACAAAGCGCGGCGCGGGCAATGACGAAGACAATGATGCATTTGGCGATGTGGTTTGCCACTTCGCGTGTCCCTCAACGTACTGCGCACCATGCACGAGGTGAGTTCCCGCGGTTATCCTTGAAGCCCGCCTTCAAGGCCGGTTTCCTCGCACGGACAGTTGTCCCCTTACTGCTGCGCCAGACCTGGTATGTCTGGCCAGCCTTCGCGTCGTCGGACCCCCTCGTGAAGACGATGACTGTCCACCCACGGATGGTTTTCTCCTCGCGACAGCTGGGCTCGACCAGTTGCCGAGCGGGAGGGCGGAGGGATGACGGGGGCAGGATGGCAAGGGGAGCGGAGGAGCGAACCGAGATGATGACGTACACGAGGGCGGCGCGGAACGGAATGGGGAGGAAGAGAATCCAGAGGGGCAAACACTTGAGGACAACAAAGAAGGGGGAGGAGGGGGCCCTGACTCACAACGTGTACAAGCCACGAGGACCTTATTTTGATAGCCCTCTGGGCCTGTTTTCTGGAACGTCAGCAGTCCCACTAATCGATATAGCTGCCTTTGCACGAGCAACAATCCCAGTACGTGTGATGGCGCGCACAGTATATAGAACATCTCCAAGCACTCCTGAAAGCGGAACTGTTACTGGCAATTTCTCCGATTGCGGACTCCAAAAATGGGTTTAGTTCTCTGCTTGCTGACTGCAGCGACAGAAGCTAGTTGCGCAAACGGCCATCGGCCACGCGGCCCGGACACGGTAGCCTGCACCACGCAGCTCCAGGAGCCGAAGGAGGGGGATAAGCATCAAGGAAAAGAAGGAAGGGGAGGATCGAAGGATGTGTGGCCGCAAAAGCACGTGTAGCCAATCGCGCGCCCCAACAAATCGTGGCTACTTTTCCCTCCCCCTCTCCTTCCCCCTCCGTCCTCCGTCCTCTCCTCCGGCCCCGCCCCCTGCTACCGGCCATGCGGCTGGGACACGATAGCTTGCACCACGCATTTTCGCACTGCGTTGTGGCACCCTTGTTTTCCACAGCATCACGGTTGAAGATGAAACGCACGTAAATGTCACGAAGTCGGTGCACCAGCGACTCAGAAAGCGAAAGCAAAGTAGACACACATGCGCAAACACGCACACGCACGCATCCGCAAGCACGCGCCGCACTCCTTCCTGCTGATCTGGTGTTGGCCTTCTTCGTGCAGGTCTTCTTCGTGACTGCTGTGGTTGGCCCCTCCGCCTTGGTCTTCTTGGTCGTCTCGGGCTTCTTGGCCTCCTGCGCCCTTGTACTGTGGCCAGGTCTCACGTTGGCACCCTCCGCTGGGGAGCACTATGGCCCTATGAGCTCATGTCTACCATCGCTCTGGAACGCCTCGTCCGCGGTGAGGCTTCATGTGTACACGGACCCAGTGCCCTCTTGAGCAACGGGCCCCGCGCGGACGCCATCCATGCTTGGGCTTGGCTTTCAGATCTGCGCCCCTGGCCACCCGAAGAAGGGCCCCGGCGCACGGGGAGCCCCCGCTGCCTCTTGCACGGCTGTCCGTGTTTCGCGCCGGGTGCGCATCGCTCTCTTCTGGCGGCGCGCACAAGGGGGGCAGGGGGAGGGGGGAAGGCTTCTTAGAAGCACCCTGCTTCTTAGAAGGCCTCGGCCTTACGTCTACGGAGAAGGCCCGCGCCTTCTCAGAAGCAGGGGTGCTTCTAGGAAGCCTTCCCCCCTCCCCCTGCCCCCCTCTGCGCGTTGCCGATTCTCTGTGGGTGTGTGCACGTGTGTGTCCTCCGCTTCCGGCTCGGGCCCTCCTGCGGGAGCCGCCCAGTCGATGTCCCACGCGTCGTCCACCTCTGGAGCGGAGTCGGTGTGGGCAGCCACGCCTTTGGGACCGTGGTCTGTGCCTCCCTGCTGCGGCAGCTTGTTGCGGAACTCTGGCATGCCGAAGTCCACCCACAAGCTGTAATGATCCTGGCTCAGGTACTTAATGTCTTCCTTCCCATACAAACGAAGGGGCTCCAGGACACACAAGTAAAGACACACACACATAAAACTATTCCCTATATGTTCCCATCTTTTCTGGGTTTCTGTCATCCCCCCCACTTCCCATATTTTCCTCTATTTTCTGGGGAATCGAGGATTAATTGTGTCTGTGTGTTTCTTTTCCTCCTGATGAATGTCTTCCTTCCCATACAAAGCCAAGTGAAAGCAAGCCGGAGTCTGAAAGCAAGTGGCAAGTCGTCGTTCTTCACTGCCAGCAGGGGGGCCGGACTTGCCATGCCACGCGCCCGCAGGATCACATCATAATGGATGGGAGGGATCTTCTATGTCTCTTTTTTTGTTCTCTCTCTCTCTCTCTATCCCCCCCTTTCTCAATTTCTCTCGCGCTGCTCTCTGTCCCTCTCTCTCTCTCTGTCCATCGCTGTGTGTCTCTCTCTCTCTCTCTCTCCCTCGGTTTCTCTCCCTCCTCTCTTTATCTTGGTTCTCTCCCTTATGTCCCTCCACGCCTCCTCTCTCCCTCCAGAAGGGCTCGCGCGCAAGGTGTGCACTCGCCACCCGCTCTGTAACCAATATCACAACATATCACAACTACAGGAAAAGTAGGGAAGGGAGGATGGTCAAGATAACGATCAAGGAACGCAATGCTCCGACACGAAGCGCGGCATCACCTGATGTCGTTTCGGTGGCCGACCTGAGCGAGGAAGGGAAGCGCCTGTACTTGCAGGCGTCGGAGGAAGCGGACTAAGCGAAGCACAAGGGCGGGAAGGGACGCTACACTACCACGCAGGTCGGGTTCAGGATGAAGCTCGCCGAGTACGCTTCCGAGCACGGCACGAAGCCCACAGTGCGAGCGATTTTCCGGCTGAAGCCAGACGTGACTTTTGCTCGGCAGCTTTTGAGGCCTCGCTGCTCTCAAGAGGGAGACCAGGACGGGGGCCCATGCCGCCAGCGGCCGAAACATCGCCGTCGACTATTCCTTAAACTTTGGGTCGAAACAAATGCCCGTCGGCACTTGTTTGGGCCAGGGTCGAAACACGCGACACCGTTCATTTTTTGACCGTGGGGCGAGACGTAGCCAACGGGGTTTTTGGGAGGGGGTGAGGGGAAACATGCTGATCGGGACGCATGGCGCATCAATCTTTTGACCAAGGGAGGGCCCGTTGCGGCGCCGGGAGTGCCGGCGGAGATCTGTTCCCCCTCGAGGGTGCAGCCAGGAGAGGGTGCAGCAAACGGTGGAGAAGCACAATAACGGGTTTCTATGCATCCGTGCAGCCTCCTATTGGCAGGGCTGCCCGCGAGCAAGACATCCGTCTCCCTGGAGGGGGTAGGCCGTTCAAGATCCCAGAAGTTCTGCGTGGCCTGCACGACTGGCACATCGTCGCCAGGCACTTCCTGAAGGCAGGGTTGGGCACCCAGCCGCTGAGGATGTGGGGGAGGGGCCGGTCAGAGAGTGGCAAGAGGGCAAGATCCTGTTCCCTCCTCCCCTTGCCGTCACGTTTGTTGATGCTTGCCCTCGTTTCCGCCCCTCGTCCTCCTCCTCCTCCTCCACCCTCCTCCTCCCTAGAACTAGCCTATCATGCCGAGTCGAGTTTACTGGTATGCCCTCTCGGCCCTGCGGCACCATCACAGATCTGCAGCCAAGGGCCGATACGTTTTCAGGGTATCTTTGAATCAATCGCTGTCTGGTTTTCTCTCCTGCCTCTCTCTCTTCCCACCCTCTCCCTCCCGCCCTTAGTGGGCCCTGGAAACGAGAGG